CCCTCCCCACCTGAACCTACTCAAAGCGTCGAGGAGGTAGGGGCGCTCTGGCGGGATTTACGGAAAGTACAATCATACAGTTGCACATGTGCAATGGACCTATTCTTGGCACAGCAAGCTGAGGGCATGTTCGATTGGTTGGATCGGGATCAGGGATCCCGATCCAACCAATCGAACATGCCCTAAGATGGACCGGTTGACGTGTACAAACGCTCAAAACGATTATCATTCTTTCTCACCGCTCAACACCGAACTGTGGGAGAAAAGATTCAAGCGCTAGCAGCATTGACTACAATGTACTTACTTGGAGCGGGATAGGTGAAGAAGCTCATAGGATGTGGAGACGCAGCAGAGTATAGATCTTCCATGATCCGATACCAACAACTCCGGAAGCGCAGTCGCTGGTGTGATACATTGTACTTGTGCGGCAAACAGTTTGATGACTGTTTAGATGACTGTTCCCAAGCTCTCCGTTTCTTCCCAACAAACACGCGCGACCGCGGCGTCATGACGACATAACTGTGCACAGGGCTAGGGAGCTGGAAGAAACCGACAAGCAAACAAACCTCTAACGCCAAGACTAGAGCCAAGACTAGAATCAAAGAGCGGTCAGTACACTCCTAATGTTGCTACAGGAGTACAGGAGTCGAGAACTTACGCAACGCAAGGGTTACAGCCTTTTTTTGGGAATAAGCAGACAACGTCGTCACAGGGCTGTTTCGATGGAGAGACTCATTGACATTTGGTCGAAGTCTACCCACCACTCTCCCAAGCTTTCGAACAGGTCGATTATGTTGTGTACGCGAGTGGTGTTGCCCCAGGAGCTCCGGTCACCTGGCCTGGACGTGTTGCCGCATTTCGCGGTGTGCAGGAAGTAAGAGGGACCGTTCTGGAACTACCCTGAAAAAAGATAAGAGCATGCAATGAAATATGTCGAGAGTTGAAAGAAAACGTTTTCTGAAGAATGTCTAGTGACATGTTCCAGGTTTCATACCTTGTATCGGACCGTACCGGCGGTTGGTCACACTTGTCGCATCCATTCTTCTCAGCGGCATGATGACAGGACTGTCCATAGCTACAGCAGTGACAGCACCCGCCTAGGATGAGCGGCTGGTAATTTCAGAACACCGCTTCTTACACGCCGGAGACACTGTGCTTTCGCTTTCCCATTGCTTGAACTTGACTCGTCCAGTGCACCGCCTCAAGGAGAATGACTTTCCCTGAAGAATCTCCTCGAGTAGTGCTTATGGCTTGGTGTTGATCTTGTGAGTGTGTTCATGTTGCCAATCTTTTGGCAGCGCGCTGACGAGGTGTGAAAATGGCCCGCACTGCATACAAATCACTGGCAGGTACGTACATGCTTCACTGGGTGCTCTGACGTAAGTTTCAGACGTGCGAACACCAGAACACGGTGAAGATCAAGAAACCTCGAAGGTGCCACTCTACTGCCGGGTTCAGCACAGAATACAATGTACGTCATGTACTCCCAAAATGCCAAATCCCAGCCAGCAGTGAGAGCTACCCCCCCCCCCCCCCACACATACACACACTCAGCGTAACGTTTTACATGATCTTACTAGGGCCCATTTGAAATTTCTCACTTTTACTTGACACATGTTTGCTAACATGGATTTTATGATCATTCCCGGATGGTTTTTGCCTCCTGAACACGATGGCATAGGTTTCGATTGCCGAATTGTGTCCGAACATGGTGAAAAACATCAAAATAGAAAAAGGCCGTTATTACCATGGCAACCTAACTAGATTTGCTCCTATATCCATTTTTACTGACACGTATATGGCCAAGTAGCACCTCATTTTGCTCAGAATAAGCAGTAGATACAGTACGGCGACAAGTACTGTTCTTTTACAGTGTCAAAACAAAATTTCCAAAGTGCAGTGAAACTTGGCTATTGGACATGTACATGTAAATTACATGTCGCATCGAATGTTAGCAATGAGGTACGTGTACATGTATGTGCAGCTAGCAGGTACATGAGACTATTTACAGGCATGCATTACTATAATTATCAGACTGCAAACACGAGAGAAGCGTCAGACGGTTCGGCGTTACACTTCAACTGAGAGAATAGGAATTGTAACCCAAGTACTAACAGGAGAAGGAAAACTGAGGTGGTAGGAAACTGTCAGAGTCTAAGGAAAGAAGTGCTATAGGACAGTTTCAACCTGAACTAATTTACTCGAAGTACGTGTAGATAATACGATAGATCTCGCAGCAATGTAAGAAGGACCACACTACTTGTACTTGTATGCGATGGCAGTGCTGTAACGAAAAAATGATGAAAATGAAAATACCAAAATCCTTTGCATACTAGTAGATATTAAACCAGTCCAAACATTGGCTAGCTTGTCACTATACTTAAATGCTTTGAAAAGACTTAAAGGCCGCAGTTGGACAACGCTCACATGTGAATAGCTGCAGTTTAAAAAGCTGATCAATCCCAACATTGTGATGCGAATACTTTCGCTTCCATGTGTTTCACTTTAACTGAAGTTGTTCTTCCGTCTGAGCTTTGGAAACTCTACGCCGCACAGCTGAGCCCATCTCTACTCCGCCACCTACACCATCACTGTTGGCCCTGCAGTCAGGGACAATTCTTTAGCCACTAGTACATGAGGTGTTATATGAACATGTTTTCCCTCTTCACCGCCGCTCTTGAATTGCATCAACTACGTGCCGTGGTCAGTATAGGAGAGAGAAGCCATGACATTGGACATCGGACTCTTTCTTTCTTGCAGTTAGTGTTTTATAAGTATAACTGTAGTTTCACCCTGCCTAGGCCCAGCCATCAAATTCTGTGACAAGAACTGATTCTTCTACTGCTGGTGTTGCATATTGGGATAGGTTACCTCCAGGTACTCGGATTTCGTTTTTGTAACACTCCACACCACATAGATACTCCCTCTCACTGCAGCATGGCACTCCTAATGCAGTTGTCCTAGAGCTGTTGAGCTGGTAAATAGGCTTTGTGCAAATGGTAGCTGATCACCACGGTCGGTGCGTTCAAATCATGGTACGTACTAACACTAGCCGCTCTTGTAGATTCGAATCAAACGCTCATCCAATAACACCTCCTGTGCAGCAGTACTCACAAAGTAAATGCCTTCATTCCAGCCCGATGAAGTTAGCCAGGTCTGAAACTTTCCACGGTTGTAGATTAGTCCTATGAATAGTTACAACTGGCTTGGCAAGCTATGATGACTTTCCCCTGCTTTCCACACATAATTGTTGTGCTGCTCCTTGTTGGAATCATGCCTACTTTTCCGGGGAGCCAAGATGACATTGTAATGAAGGTTCTGCTGAATTAATTATTTAGCATCGATCCATTCGTGGACGTTCCGACAGCAAAAGCGCCAGCGAGTCAATGCAAAACTTTGAAGAAAGTGTCCAAACGAGGTAACAGCATTTCTCGTATGTCACAACTACACTACTTGATGCTCAATCTTTCCAACTCTCGCACAAAATCAGTCCTAGTGCGCGTCGGTTCGCATCCTGTGTATGTACGGTGTTACTATAGCTCCTGGCACATAAAAGGGTAAAAAAACTCCCAGGTCCAGTCAATAGTACCGAGAAGGTCTTGAAAATGCTTGAATATAGCCGATGAGAACTTAGTTTTTTCGGCAATTTTGTATTCCTATCGAGGGTGATTTCGGGACCTTTGGACGCGATTGGACACGCCATACTGGGCCAAGATGCTCTTGAAGACATTATCTATCAAATAACACCGAAAAATCCTTGTTAGCCAACATGTGTCAAGGCATGTATTTTAGAGGTCGATTTTTTGAATTGGCCCCAGTACTGGCAGTAGTGCAGTACTATCAGGGAGTAGTAAAATGGTATTGTACTACTCCCTGGTACTATAGCCCATACAGCAATGACAGATTCAGCCATTTCAGGTGTCGATCGGCACTCGCACATTGGCAGTGCTTGTGCTGCTGATGATAATGTATTCATGGCTCAATCATGCATCATTTGCCTCTATGACAAGCATTGGCCGGTGGGCACCAAGCGGCGAAATGATGATAATATTATTATTATTATACATTTTTCCGCACACAAAAGCCTCTTTTAACGGGCAACAAAACACAATTTGCCAAGATGAAGGATAGGATAGCATTAAACACAAATGAAGAGAATAATTTTATGAAGAAAAAATAATAATACATGATTGTGTTATTATGACTGTGTAGCTGAACAATACCCTGACAATAGAGAGGTTAAGATGCACGTTATTTCTGACGTGACGCGAAAGTTCAGCTCGCGTTATTTGCTGACAGGTCGAAAAATCAACGCGAGTAACCTGCTGCTCACGTCGAAATTTGGAGTTTTACGCCAAATTTGACGTGAAATTGCGCGTCACGTCGGAAATAACGTGCATCTTAACCTCTCTAATAACAACAACTTGTACAATACTCTGAACAATACTCCATAGTTGGACGTGGACACAGTCGGTCTTGCTGTGACCATGGCGACTGTGGGAGCAACGGCAAGAGTGCAATGCACACTAGCAAGAGTACATAAGTAACATAACCCCCTCTTGACACTACTGTAGGTGTACTGTATTTGTACTCGAAGCTCAACTCAGATACCGGTATGCAGTCCTGCACCAGTACACGAATCTCATAGAATACTGTAAAAGCAGAAATTTTCGGTGGTGTTTTATTTTCGGTAACTTCGGTGCCGACAATTTTTACCGAAAATAAAACGCACCGAAAATTTCGGTACAACCGATACTGTATACATGTAGTACTAGTACACCTACCTGGAGAACGGGTTTTACCGAAAATTTCCCGCTACCGAACCGCCGATTTTGGCGAGTACCGAAAATATTACACCACCGAAAATTTCTGCTTTTACAGTACTCATAGAATACACTTGCGCTGTCAGCACAGTGCTCAAACCAGCCATGCAGAGCTTCCTTTTCCGCACACAACTGGCAAAACAAGGTCAGACCTTAACCACAACTCGACCTACTCAATGAGCAAACAAATGACATACTGCAAGCAGCTAGGTACAGTGTGCCGCTATCCTCCGTGGTTGTGATATTCATTTTAGAATCCAAAATAGCATAATTTATTTGAAAAAAAATGCTGCTCTTTGAGAAAATTGGACAGCAGATCTGTTTGGCTACTCAAGAATATAGTGGGTGGAAACCGAAAAAAGGGAAATTCGCGTGAAATTTGAACTCAATCGCTGCTAGGATCTAGGACGAGGGATCTGGGCAAAGTAGCTAATGAAACTATTGGAATTCCGGGCGGAAGCTATAATAGCGCGGGAGCAAGAGTCTATGAAGGTTTGGGATTCCTAGCAGGAGCTGGTAAGGGCGGTGCTACACTGTATGACATGGGTGAGGGTGAGAGCTGCGAATAGACACATCATTCCATGTACATGTGCTGTAGTCTGTAGCTAGACTATGCAGACTACGCTGTCATGGCCGCACGAATAGGGAGGAAAGAGATATTAGTCACCATACGCCCACCGTCACAAGCCACGGCTATAACGCGGAACAAGGGGAATAAGAAGATAACGGGAATAAGAAGATAACGGGAATATTCTGATTCTGATTTCATAAACCTACAATGTCACAATAGGAATGACATTCTTCATGCTGCTTCTAGAATCGCATCTGTTATTCGCACCCAGTGATGAAACTCATCCGGGTAGCCATCGAAGGGTCACAGTGCAAGATTTGAATAGTCTAACGGGCTAGAGAGATCGCGTGAGATGCTTCTAGGTAGATGAGCAGTGCTGCTCCTGGTAGTGGTAACACCAGCAGCAGCAGCAGCCGAGGGAACAGAAATAGGGTCACTGGCTGTGGCAGCAACAGCAGCAGTAGGATGTGCTTGGCTGCGATTGCTAGACTGTGATCGATAAGAAGAGGCACTTGCCGAGCCTGAATATGTCGCTGAAAACGGCGGATGGCCTCCCGCCCTGGAAGGGGTAGAGATGGCGGCACTGACGGGAGTCGTAGACTTGGTCTTGAGCTGTCCGTGGAGATTCTCGTACTCTCCCTTGGCCCGGCTCAGGCGTGACGTGAACCTGACTGGAGATGCCATGTCGGTGGCGGTGCGGTGGACATTCACTGGAGACGCTGCCCTCCCTGAACCAACACAACAGCCACCAGAGTAACTTAGTACTATGACAAGAGTAGCTGCAGCAGCATTGCAAGAATCAGCACATGTACGTGAAGCACTGGGCTGGGTATTCTTGCTATAATACCTATATATTTATAATATCACACTGAGAGTATCTTACGCATAGCAATTCGTGTTGGACAAACCACGGATAACCTGTAAACACTAAGCAGTTGAGCGAAGGGTGAGCGTGCACAATCTCCTTCATCGTGAAACGACAACAGCGAAACCAAACTTACGGCTACTAGAGGACAGGTGAGTAGCGGAGAGTGGCGCTTGAAAAGCTGCTGCTGCTGTGGCTGCCGAGCGTCCAGAGACTTGAGAAGACATCCTCGTCCGGTCAGTGCCTTGAAGAACACAACATGCAAACAAGAGCCGGTATATTATATTGCCCTTACAAGATCCAAGACACAGAGAGAGAGAGAGAGAGAGAGAGAGAGAGAGAGAGAGAGAGAGAGAGAGAGAGAGAGAGAGAGAGAGAGAGAGAGAGAGAGAGAGAGAGAGAGAGAGAAAGAGAGAGAAGAGAGAGAGAGAGAGAGAGAGAGAGAGAGAGAGAGAGAGAGAGAGGAGGAGGAGGAGGAGGAGGAGGAGGAGGAGGAGGAGGAGGAGGAGGAAGAGGAAGAGGAGGAGGAGGAGAGAAGTCCAGAGAGAGAAAGAGACTGAGAACAGAAGATACAATTAGAGAAGAGTGCATGGAAAAGTGAGAGAGAAGAAAGAGGAGAAAGAGGGAAAGAGTCAGAGACAAGCAGAAAGAGAGAAAGAAAGAAAGAGAGAGAGAGAGGGGGGGGGGGGAGTAAGTAGCAAAATACGTAATAAGAATGGAATTACCTGTCACTGAAGAGAGCAGAGGCATAGAGCTATTCGCAGAAAACGCTGGAGTGGATGAAGTCTTGATGCCTGGTGGGTGAGCTGCTCCATTTCGGATCACTGATGCTGACTGCAGTTATCAAGGAGCGAATGTGACAACAGAACACACACGATATTAGGCCATGGTAAAAAATAAAGTTGATTCTCAGGTCATGAGCCTGTGAAAATCGGTGCGAGCGAGCGTTGTTTTATTTTATTTCCCACAATTTTTTTATTTCCAAAGATAGGGTCACACATACAAATGTATGTACATGGTCACATGTTCATAATATTCAGGCCAGGGAGTAGAAAAATACCGGTATTTTGCTACTCCCTGATTCATGCCTTTCGCCGGCCAATGCGCGCATATGCGCATATGCATGCATAGAAATAACATAAATCGTCGGTGCGCCGCCAAAAATCGGTGCGCGAGTACTTGAGAATCAAATATAATTTTTACCATGGCCTTATGACATAATTTTAACTGATGAGGGGTGAATTCCCCAAAACACTAAGTATCGAGCAGGGAGTGGTGCTTTCTTGCACGTTTGCCGAGTGGAAGGTGCGATGTGCTCCTCGTGTGCTCCGGATGGCAGTCGTGAAGACAGCGAATATGAGTGGGAGAGGCGGAGAAGGATCACTACAGTCTATTGATAAAAGATGAGCGCTGGCTTTGGCGAGCTCCCATATTTGGCGATTTTTGTGATTTTATCGTACACGGTGCAGTGCCGCGAAATTTGAAATTTGAAAAGGGTCCAAAAACGGTATCTCAACTGGAGTTCGAACCGCATGATGTACTCTTGCAAGTGGAGTGATTTTCATGGCTTTCCCAATTCAGTGCATATACAGCAAAACCTGGCCGAAATCCTATTCTCGTTGTGGCTTGCGCTTTGGAGGAATAGACAGTTCAGAAACAGAATGGGGAGAGCATTCCATGAGGATTGCAAAAAAATGTGAAAAACTCAAAATTTGACCCATGTATGGCCACAAGCTGGGATATCATCATGTCTTTATGAATGGACTGTAGAGGTATGTTTGCAACAGTATATACACAAGTACACCAAACAATGTGAACAATACTAGTACACTACTCATACTTGTAAAGGGAGCAATCTGCTATTCTGCTTCTGCAGAATACACTCTTGGAGTTTTCATGTCAATTTTGAGCAGGCAACACAGAATACATCCCTCCATACATCACCATGTTATGCAAGTCGAAGAACACATGTGCGACCAAGGACACACACACACACACATACGCACACACACATACGCGCACGCGCACGCACACACACACACACACACACACACACACACCTCACCCCTCCACACACACACACACACACACACACACCTCAGACATGCCCATCGCGGAAGCGATAAAAGCGAACAGCTATGTTAGACATAGCAACTTGTGCTGGGATTACACCATTCAACAGCTTGCAAGGCTGATGAATTGACCGCCACTATTTTTAGCCTGGTATCCACCACACAGCTGTTTGAAATGACTTTTTCTGGCCAGTGAATCCCAATTTTTAATTTTTCCATTTTTTTCTACACACACACACACACCACACCACATATTCCGGCATACACTGGCTGTTGGTAACCACCCAGGAGAATGAAAGACAAGTCAGGAAGAGTCCGAGAAAGAGAAGAAAGACGTGTGCAACCATAATCGTCGGGAATTGAACCCGCAACCTCTCGATTGGAAATCGACTGCACATACCACTGCACCATACAGACACACATACAGACACACACACACACACACACACACACACACACACACACACACACACACACACACACACACACACACACACACACCACCACGTACACACACCTACAGGCATGCACACGAACTTACCGCCAGTGTGGCAGGTGTCTCCTTGGCCAGTGCAGACTCCAGACTGTGTTGATGCTGCATACTCTGAACATAGACATGTAGACAGCACATCAGCACAAACAACATGCCAGATTAGACCATGACAATCCAACAGTCATAACTCGGCTTACAGCAGATGTCCGGGGCATTGAACACGACACTTAACTCGGCTTACAACAGGCGCCCGGGGCATTGAACAACACACTTCAGACCCTATCCATGTTGGGACACATCGGCGATTAGGACTACAGGTAACAGTTACCACAACATAACTAGCGCTCTCTCTCTCTCTCTCTCTCTCTCTCTCTCTCTCTCTCTCTCTCTCTCTCTCTCTCTCTCTCTCTCTCTCCTCTCTCCCTCCTCTCTCCCTCTCTCCCTCTCTCTCTTCCCTCTCTCTCTCTTTCTCTCTCTCTCTCTCTCTCTCTCTCTCTCTCTCCTCTCTCTCTCTCTCTCTCTCTCTCTCTCTCTCTCTCTCTCTCTCTCTCTCTCTCTCTCTCTCTCTCTCTCTCTCTCTCTCTCTCTCTCTCTCTCTCTCTCTCTCTCTCTCTCTCTCTCTCTGTCTCTCTCTCTCCTTCTCTCTCTCTCTCTCTCTCCCTCTCTCTCCCCTCTCTCCCCTCTCTCTTCCCCCTCTCTCCCCCTCCCCCCCCCTCTCACTCCCTCATCGGCGATTAGGACTAGAGGTTACAGTTACCACAACATAACTAGCGCTCTCTCTCTCTCTCTCTGTAGCAAGAAGGACCCATGAGTGTGTGATCCCCGGTAGCCCTAATCGGCAGGGCAATGTCCCAGAAAGACAGGGTGCTGGGTTCGAATCCCGCTCGTGGATCCTTCTTTTGCAACATCTCTCTCTCCCTCTCCCCCCCCCCTCTCCCTCTCCCTCCCTCTCCCTCCCCTCCCTCTCCCTCCCTCCTCCCTCCCTCCCTCCCTCCCTCCCTCCTCCCTCCCTTCCCTCCCTCCCTCCCTCCCTCCCTCCCTCCCTCCCTCCCTCCCTCCCTCCCTCCCTCCTCCCTCCCTCCTCTCTCTCTCTCTCTCTCTCTCTCTCTCTCTCTCTCTCTCTCTCTCTCTCTCTCTCTCTCTCTCTCTCTCTCTCTCTCTCTCTCTCTCTCTCTCTCTCTCTCTCTCTCTCTCTCTCTTCCTCTCTCTCTCTCTCTCTCTCTTGTTCATCAGCACGTGGATAGCAGAACAGTGGTGGAAAGGCTGAAAGGCTCTAGTGTTGTCCAGATAGTGGGAGAACAGTTGCGTAGTAGAAGAGAGTGTTCTGCTACATGCACATGCAGGCGCGTAGCCCGCATAGAGCACGGGGGGCACGTGCACCCCCTAACAATTTCAACCTAGGTTCAGCATGCACATAATGACCATGATGAGATGCACCGGCCATCCTACACGTATGATATTCGAACTTCAAATACAACATATTCGGCAAGAATATTTTGGAGAAGCGGCCGAGCACCCCCCTAAAAGGGGGACCAGCTACGCCCCTGTCATGCATAAACTACAACACTGTCCTGCCTCTCTCACAACTACCGGTAAAAACTGTTCTAACAACAACCATAGCTCAAACGAGACCAACACACAGCCGGAAACTTGAAGTAGCACACAGCATTCCGAGTCTAAACAGGGATCACTTTTCTTCCCTCCATTGGTTACTCGTTTCCACCACATAACAACCAATGCAGTTACATACCAGGATAGGAGTTGATCACAAGTTAGAAACGCAACGCACAGCAAGCAATGCATAAAAGAACAGCATCTCTTAGTTTCCGTACCCGCTCAAGGGATGATACTTGGCTATTGAGCACACCAATGGAGCCTTCCGTTCTCATCTGCTCATTGCGAAGTGCATCCTCGTGATGAGCTAGCTGAGCATCCAGTTTGGTCTACATTCACAAGCAGGGAAAAAACAAGACCACAAAACGGTGCATCCATGGCAAAAACAGGCATTGTGAATGACATAATGACAAGAGTGAATGACATCATGGTATAAGCCAAGCATGGAAAGGCAATGCTGCTACACTATACACTTCACTTGCACCGGTACATCTGCCGCATTCACATTAGGAAGTGCCAGGCACGAGTTCGGTACCCGCCACCGAACACGATGCAAAACGTACACACTCTATTCTTTGTTTGGGGGAATGCACAAGTGCAAGCAGGTAACATGTCCAAGCACATACAAGGAGAGAAATGTCAATAACCACACTGCACCAGCTTCTGACGTGATGAAACTCAATCCAACACCCAATCACCCACGCACATGCACGTAACCTTGAGGACAAGACATAGTGTTCTCTCCCCGCGGTCTCCACTGCCAGCTAAGCTTACCTGCAAGAGTTCACGCTGGTGCTTGGCTTGATCCACGTTTAGGGGTGACTGAGCCACCTGGGTCTGGATAGGCACAAACCAAAAGTAATGAATATACAACACTGTCAGAGAAAGGTGAGAATTGTTGGAAACTAAAACCTTCCATATTCATGGCAAATAGACTGAGTGCCCAACGGAGGAGCACGTACAAATGGCGCACAAACCTACAGGACAAAGTGGATGTTGCACTGCTTTTAGATCCGCACAGCACCCATTCTGTCCAGAAAATGTGCATGAATGACATCATAATGACATCATACTTACTCATGATCTACTTCCATACACATGTCCAAACTGAATTTTAAAATAGGGGTTTCCGAGGCTAGGCATGCATGTGCAGTGCTGCTCAATGAAATCCAGTCGTGTCACTCAAGTTTGCGCCTTGCACCATTTCGCAGCCCACTGTTCACAGGTCTTCGGCTTCGCAACGCCCGGCGCGTACTTGAGTGACACGAGTGGATTTCATTGAGCAGCACTCTAAAAGTTCGTGGCACAAAACCTGCAAGGAACAACAGAACAACGTAATAAGCATCACCGACCGATGAAAGTAGCGTCTCAGATCCACGACTCTTGGCCCGCTCACTGCGCAGGGAGTCCTTGATTCGCCTCTTCTCCTCTCGCTGTGATGCGTAACGCTGCTGCAGGGTGGCAAACTCTGACTCTAGCAGAGGCAACCACACCAAGCACAACACAGGACACAAAGTTAAAGGCCTGCACAACCACTGGAGCATGGAGATATCCCAGTCACACATGCTCGAGACGACATTGGTTGCATAATCTTACCGAACGAATTCCAAAATACAGCCCGCCACAGGGTCAACAGCATTGGTGTGATGCAGGGGTGATGTCATCATGCAGCTAAGACGGTCATTGAATGACATCTAGACTACGGCGTTACCAGAGTACAGACACCACTGATCACACCACACGATTTGGGTCTCCATTGCTTATACAACAGTGTCACAGAACAGTTAAAGCCCACACGCTCATTGTGAACCTGATGAAGGCAATTTGCCGAAACGTAATATTGTGAAATGAGTTGAATTAGTGCAGTGTTAATGGAAGAGAGCGTGTGGGCTCTACTCTTAAAACTGTTTATGAAACTGCAGGAAGCCTCCCCACTTTTACTTAGTGTCACAGAAATCAACAAGATTCCAGACATAGCAGCAGAAAAACACCATGCACACGTTCACATTCATGTACAGTGGATATCGGTTATAAAGTCATCGGACATAGTGATAAACCGGCTATATTGATACAAAATGAAAATATCAAAAGCAAAACCAGAAAAAGCCAGTCAAATTATCATTATAACCAATATATCGTATATAGCGATAAATCGGCTATAAGGATACAGAATCACCATTCAAAACACCTCTTTGCACAGAAAAATTATCGTCTATAGTGATAGCAACACACGAGTGTGAGGCATTGATGTCTCGACTTGGAGCTACATGTGTGTTGTCATAGGGTATTCTGGTCTGGTGCTTCCTGGATGATGCCTTTGAGCCAAGAAGTTCTTCACTCTAGACTGGAGAAGGTGCAGTAGCATCCATCACGTATCAGTACGCTACATTAGCGCGATCGAGTACCCACACGTGTATAATGCGTATGTATGACACGCGCAGTTGAAAATCGCCTGTAGTGATATACCGGTTATAGTGATAAAATAAGAAAAATCAGAAGGGCACGTTATAACCAATATCTACTGTAGTTGTAGTTTCCGCTGTGATTGCCGACCAGCCACAACGCACTCACAAACCGTACCTCTTTGCTCGCACAGAGCCGTGACGCTCGATAGCCGCGCTTTCAGCTCTCGGATGACATCGCTGTCGTACGAGCTAGCAGCAAAGTTGAGTCGAGCCTGGTCACCTTGCAAGGCCTACAGAAGAAGAAAAAGTCCAGGATAAGATGGAAAAAACAACTACAGTCAAAAAAGGAAAATTCTACAAAAAGGCACCAGCACTACAAATCAGAAACCTCACCAATACCGCAGTAGGGAGGTTTCGCTCTACGCAATTACGTATAAAAATCCGTATGTCGTACGCGCCGGGGAGCGAGGGCAACTTTCATACGTAAATCTCTCTACGGATTTCCGTAGGAAAGCTCTTTTCTACATTGAGTCCTCCGTAGGACTTGTTGAAATATTTTTTCGCATTTTCCGCATTCGTCCATGGCAACGTTCAAGCCGCGCGAAACACAAGGTACACACACCGTATACCACGTGCAAAATAAAATGGAAAACGCGGTTGCGGTTCATGGTGCATGCGGTGGGCGCATGCAGCCAACTCGTCTCCAAAGCAACAACGCATGTTTAGCAGTCGTGGAGAAATCACGTAGAGCGAAACCTAACAGCTCTGATTTTTACGTATGAAAATTCCGTGCAGTTCCTACGTAATTTTCATACGTAATTCCGTAGAGCGAAACCTCCCTAATGTCATTGCACTCAGGACCAATCCATCTTGCTCACACCGCAACCACCACAATTTCCTCAGGATGGTTGATCTTTTGATGGTTGTTTTCACAAACGAAACGAAGATGTGCGGAGAAACAAAACATTGGTCAGCCCCATTCGGCACGAGTTTCCAAAAGTAGAACACACAATTACCTCCGTCATATTGCGTAGCTTTTCGCATTGCACCTGCAGATCTGCCTGCACTTTGTGTGTAGCTGCTTGCTCGTCTCGGAGAGATTCCAACCGCTCGGTCTCCTCAGCCAAGCGCTGGCGCGTGGCGGATAGCTGTTCCTCCGAAACACGACATCGTTCCAGGAGACTTTGCAGAGTCTGCGTATGCAATGGGATACACCCAAATGCACGCATGCAGGTGTGTGCGCGCGCACACACACAGACACACACAGACAAACACACACACACACATACACAGTCAGCGAGTGTGACAACAAGGCACACAACTGAGAGGGAGTAGTGAGACATTCAACGACCTGACACCTAGCTCCAACACTCGTATCATTTTGTCCTTCCTATATTCATCCATGATCACAAAGGCCCAATATCCGAGTTTAAGTTACTGGGTACAAGATTGCTGCACAGCTCAAGGATACTAATGAGAATGGGGCTGGTGAAATCAGTTTTAGATTGGTCCGGCCATACCATGGTCTTTCATACTTTATGTAGGATATGGTAGGTACACTACACATGACCTCCTCAGCAGTAAACTCTGGTGGGTGAGCAAAACGTTGGTCCGGCCATGGCCTGACCAACCAGCCTGGTTCCGCTGGGCCTCGGGAAGCATGCTAGAACGGGTGGGACTTACGCTCTGCGCCAGTTCTGTCCGCTGCACCACGGCTGTGTGATTTTGTAACGCTGTTGGAAGATTGCCCTCACAATCTGTGTCAGCAGGAAGCAGTTAGCAAAAGCAAATAAAAAGAGCGCACAGGTGTCAAGCAAAACGAGACTTGCTGAAACAGGAATACAGAATCTTGGACTTTTTGAAATTTTAGGGAAATTGGTTGTTTCCACTCGAAAGTCTGCTTGCACAATTTGCTACAAATACAAACTTGTAGTGAGGTTCTGCTCTACGTTATGGGAACGCGATGCAAAGAATCACGCGAACTCTCTTCGACTCATTTCGCGTTCCCTTAACGTAAAGATATCCTGATCTGCTCTACGTTTCACGTAGAGAAGTCCCGTGGAATATGTACTGGGAATTTCCCCTTCCATATTTGGCAGTTTTCTGCCTGCACTCGAATGATACCCAGCAGATCCGTATGCATTTTTGTTTGGGTGT